AGATGTATAAATTCTGTACATATTTTTGGGAATTAACCACTTATCAGATGTATCATTGGCAAACGTGTTCTCCCATACAGTGGGATCCCTTTTCATTTTGTTGGTGGTTTCTTTTGGAGTGCAGAAGTTTTTTATTTTGATGTAGTGCTATATACAATAGATAAGATTTGGAAACAATCCAAGTGGCCATCAGTAGAACAGTGGCTAAACAGATGTGGAATGTTAAGACAATGGAATGCTGTGTAGTTGTAAAAAAGAAGGATCTCTTAACCTCTGAGACAGCATGAAGACCCTGGAGATGATTGTGCTAAGTGAAATAAGCCAGTCAGAAAAAGACATGTGTCATGTGATCTCATTTATATATGGAATGTAATGAACAAAATAAACTGAGAAACAAAATAGTATTAGATCCAGAGACATGGAAGCACGGAAAAAAGACTGATGAATCTCAGAGGGAAGGGAGGAGGGTAGGAAGAGATTAACTAAATAACTTACTAGTATATGCATATAAGCGTAACCCATGGACATAGACAATAGTGTGTTAAAGGCCTGAGGAAGAGTGTGGGGTGAAGGGAGTTAATGGGGCAAAAAAGGGACATCTGTAATATTTTCAATAATAAAGACACATTTTTGAAAAGTTATACTACTGTATATGCCTCTGATTATGGTGGAATCATAAAACCCTAAGTATTATACATGGGTAAGCAAATGGATGGTCTTTTCTGATGGCAAACTTAAAGGAAAAATATTCCAGATATAAGAAGAATACCCTTTACCTTTCTTTTGTCAGTGGGTCCTTAACCAGGAATTGGCTCAGAGAGGTGGGATAAAGGCTTCTCATTTGCTGAAAGTCTTATGAGGAGATTCCCTGACATAGACCAGATGTCAATGAAGAATTCAGTAGAAAGGAAAAAATAGTGTCTCCTGCACTGACCAGGTGGCTCAGTTGGTTGGAACATCATCCCATACAACAAAAGGTTGTAGGTTTGATTCCTGATCAGGGCACACAACTAGGTTGTGGTTTTGATTCCTGGTTGGCGTGTGTACAGGAGGCAACCAATAGATCTCTCTCTCTCTTTCTCCCTTCCTCTCTCTAAAAATGAATAAAAACATATCCTTAGGTGAGAATTTAAAAAATAACAATAAAGTGGCTCCCTTTCAAAATTTATTCATTCATTTTGTTATTCATTCATTCTTTGACTTATTAGCCTATTTTTCCCCCCAAGTAATACACAAACAGGAAATTACTAAGCACTGGAAATGCATCTGAAGTACCTTGGATATAGAAATGATAATAATAAAAATGAAACAATATGATACAGAGTAATAATGTATTGGCCATGGTGTCAAAACTACAAGGAATAACCTACTTTCTAGAAAGGAAGAACACCCAGTTTGAGACAGAGCTGAAGTGTCCCTGAAGCCAACCAATAAAGTGGATATCTTATAGACTATATTGAAAGGAAGCAATGTTGTTGTCAGAATTCAATTCATAATGGATCAGTACTTAAAAATCACATCTTTAATAACTACATAAGTGAAAAATAAGATTCAGAGAAGTCCTGGTATAGAATGTTGGACAAACTAACTGATACATGGTGGTGCTTCTAGAAAGGAACAATTTCCTTAGTCAGATTATCAAGGTGGTTCAGGAGAATTAAACAAAATTCAGTATAAACTTTTTAGAGTTCTTCATAAAAATGTGTGTGCTCTCTTATATAATAAAAGCCTAATATGCTAAGTGTCCAGTCATCTGGTCCTCCATTCAACCAAACAAAATATAATATGCTAATGATATGCTAAAGCCATTCAATCACTCGCTATAACATGCACTGACCACCAGAGGGAAGACACTCTGACTGGTAGGTTAGCTTGCTGCCAAGGTCCTGCTGATCAGGACTAAGTGAGACAGGCCAGACCCACCCTGGAGCCCTCCCATAGCCCCTCCCTGGTTGGCCCACCTTCCATGTCCCTTCCCAGCCCCCATCATGCACTGTGGTGTCCTTCAGTCTGGCCTGCACCCTCTTGCAATCCAAGACCCCTCGTGGGATGTTGGAAAGCTGATTTTGGCCTGATCCTACAGGCCAGGCTGTGGGATCCTACTGGTGCACGAATTCATGCACCGGGCCCTTGGTGACTATTATAATAAAGTATATCATTCTCAGTATGAATGTGTGTGTATGTGTACCTATAATCTCCCCCATACGACCTTCCCTCTTTATAAAACTTACCTGTTACCCAATGAGATATAAAATAGTAACCCAACAATTCTGGACAATAGCAAAGAAATCTGAGATTTTATTGTAAGAGTAACAGAAGCCATCGATAATGATGAGAATAGTTATCCACTCTAGATGGCTAGACACCATTCATATGACAGACTCCTGGCTGCTTCAATACAACCCACTTTATCTGTTTTTCGATGATTTGAAACCTGCCCATGGCTAGAATTGTTTTTAAGCATCCAACTACAATTTCCAGCTTATTACTCTTCCTTTTCCACTGAGAAGCAATTTAATGTTTCATTTTTTTTTCCTCTCTGCTCACACTACAGCGGCAGGTTCCATGCTCGGCAATGCTGTGACTGAGACATACATAAGCATAAATGCCTCTCAGGAAACTCCTACATACTTCCAGCACATTCCCCCAATACCCTTTCTCTGCTTTCCAAAGATACCTTTCTGGGTTTAAATGAGCCCGTTTTATAAGAACAATAACTTTCCTAGTGGTATTTATTGTAATATAAAAACTACACGTTCCAGAATACACAGTCCCTATCGAGTAACAAGGTGTCATTAGTTCCAGACAGCAAGCTTTATTATTTTTCACCTTTTAAACTCTAAAGCTTGTCATTTTATTAGTTTCAGAAATGGCTCCACTGTTTATCTGCCTTTTTTGCTCAATGGGAAATTATACAAAAGAGTTACACATCACTTTTTCTTTCTTTTTCTTTTTTTTTTTAAATATATTTTTATTGATTTTTTTACAGAGAGGAAAGGAGAGAGATAGAGAGCTAGAAACGTCGATGAGAGAGAAACATTGACCAGCTGCCTCTTGCACACCCCCTACAAGGGATGTGCCCGCAACCAAGGTACATGCCCTTGATCGGAATCGAACCTGGGACCTTTCGGTCCACAGACCGACGCTCTACCACTGAGCCAAACCGGTTTCGGCGACGCATCACTTTTTCAAAAATTATTCACCAAGAGTGAATCTAATACATATATTTATAATTATTTCAATTACTTATATTCCTAAATGTAAGGAGTATATAATCACACATCACATATTTCTTCATTCCATCACTCATTCCTTTATTTTGAATTACATATTTCTACAAGTAATGATTTATATTCAAAAGGATCATAAAAAAATGAAAAGGTTGTATAAATGCCACTGCCTTGCTGTGAATTTTACATGCACTTGCTGAACTCAAGTTTGTGGATACCTGGAATGGCTTTCCACTGTAAGGGGAAATACATTTAAGCATGAGATAGTGTATCTGGCAATAGCTGCTTGACACAGAAGAGGCCTTGAAAATGTGTGGAAAAGAAGTCCTTCTCCTAATCACACATTCACACATGCATTCCTCATTTTTTCTTTTCTATAGAGTAATGCTCGATCTTAATAGGAAAGTTCACCCTGCTCACTCCTTTCACATCTATAAAAGTTTCACAGCCTCACGTCAACTTTCAGAAATCAGAGTCTGCCAACTAGAAATGAAGCAAGCTTGTCTAAGCCATGTAATCTATAATCTATAATAATAAAAGCATAATATGCTAATTAGACCAGACAGCTGAACAACCTTCCCGGCGAAGCTGGGGCTGCAAGGGCCTCTAGTTGATTATAAAATAGAAAAGAGGATGTGGGCATGGATTTTTGTTATTTTTATGGTTTTCATTATAATGATACTCATGACCATAGGGCCTACATAGAAACTATCAAAACAGAACATTAAACTTTATCATTGTATTTGAGAATTCCTGTTATCTTAATTTATGCTTTGATGTCTCTGAGACCTGTGTCATTTTCTTATTTGCATCTTCTCATGCTTCTTTTTTCCCCTTAAAAAATAAGTAACATCTCAGAGTAATTAAAAAAAAAAAAAGTAACATGATGGCTGGAGAAATTCTAGAAAATTATTAAGAATAAAATTGGTTACAGTCATACAATCCTGAAATGGGATTTTCTCACAAGGCCCTTTTTCCTTTTGTAATGACTTTCAAATTTTTAATAGTTTACTAAAATTAATTTATGTTTTATGTGGAAAATTAATAATGTTTTATAATAAAAATTTAGAAAACATAGAAAAATAAAAGGAAAAGAATAAAGTTACTCATGTCATCATCCAGTGATAGCCCAAATTTACTTCCATTCCCATATCTATTTTTCTCTGTAATAAACTAGGATAACATTTTATTGCCCCTATTAAGCTTTCTCACATACCTATTGATGAGTAATTTACTGTTATTAAAAAGTATTTAAGAATAAAAAATAATATCTGCATAATTTTCTCTCTTGTTTCTGTAGGTCATTTAACCTAGTCAGCTATTTAAGAAAATAAGGCAGTAGAAAACATCTCCACTTAAACATTATCAAAATTTCTTTCCAACTCAATTAGTTTTATATGTGAAATAAGAAAATAAAGGCTTCCTTTTCTTGAAAATAAATTATTTTCTTATATTGACCTGATACATATTATTATAATTAAATTTAGAGCTCTCTGTGTACTGTTTGCTCCATTTTTCTAATATAATGCTTATGCCAAGAAGCAAACAAAGAAAAAAGGATACTTAAGTTTCAGAGATCAGTACAGTATTTCTCATCTTAGGTGAAAATTAACTTTATAGTACAAGTTTCTCAAACACGACTTTCTGCGACATTATGGTGATGACATTTTATTTAAATAGGTAGAATAGCAACAATAATGAAACACATATTCAGCATCTTTAAAATTATATCTTCCCCTGCAGAGAATGAAAATTGTCAGAATTGTTTACCTGGGGATATGATATAGAAGAAATCTTTAAATTCATCCATCCACACTTCTGCCAGTCTCCTGTTGTTCTTGTTGATGACATGACCGGTGCCACCAGGAAAAGTGTATGGAGTTGCTTTCCGAAAAACATGACCCACATGAGAGCAAGTCACAATCTCCAATGAGCCTCCACATTGCCAGATCTGGGGAAAATAGCAATTGTTGTAGAATAGTCATTGCAGATAATGCAGTGATATTGTCTGAGAAACAGCTGAGGCTAAGGCAAAATCGTCAGATCTTATACAGTTCAAGCAAACATTGGATGAACATATGTAAAACTAACACACTAAGGTTTGGCAAAAGATTCTAGTTTGAAATTACTTAATATATTTAAATACTGTAGCATTACAATAATAGAAATAAGACAATTATTTTTATGTGTCTTTATGAGACTACCTATTTTTTAGTTTCTAGTAGTAAACCTAATTGCTGGTTAACAGATAGTATTTGGTATTCAAAATTTGCAGTGAAGAAATTAATTTGTACATATTAGATACATGTTCAGTAACTAAATTTGATTTGAAGGAAAAACAGTCTATTATTCTGCATCCATCTGGAATTTTAAATGACCATTAATTCCCAGTTGTCCATATCTCCTGTCTTTGGATATGTTATTAGTTTTATTAAAATGTGCTAGGATTCCTTTATATAGCCACAACATTTGTGCATCCTTCAAAGCTTATCTCCAAGAACATTTCTGTTTAGTATTTAATACTAGAGTCTCGGTGCATGAAAATTCATGCACTGACCTGCCCCCCTCTCACAGTCCTAGAGCCCTCAGGGGCAGGAGGTAACCCGGCGATCAGGGAAAGGTGATGCCCCATCACACCTCTGCTGCTGCCACTACACTACCAGCAGCACAAGCCTTGGCCAGCCCTGGTTACCTGAGTCTCAGTTACCCTAAGAGGCTGGGCAGCTGACATCTGAAGCTTGCCTGTATCTAGGGCATTGGCTATGCAGCTGCCATTGGAGGCTTGCCTGAGCTTCGGGCCAGCCCTGGGAGGCTGGGGGGCTGAGGGGACTGAGCACTGCTATCTTGTGGGTGTGGGTGCCACCATCTTTGAAACAGCATGATGGTCAATTAGCATATTCTCTCTTTATTAGATAGGATATGTATTTTATATTTTAAACATGTTTTTATGAAGAAATATTTGCACTGTAGTGTAAGCAGTCGTTTATTCCACTATCACTCCTTTCAAATTGGAAGCATATGGGATGTATTTCTTGTTACCCTAGACTTACTGTGAAATTGAGGCTATGTATTAAGTAAAGTACCCATAAACATTTATTTCTATACAACTACATTGTGATTATATTATGATTATAAGTTATACTTGTGTGTTTTAATATAGACAGATATTATATGTATATTATATAGATATGAAATATATATATACTATACATTCAGATATTTACTTCATATATATATTACATATGTAATATAGTTTTTATCCCAATAAATAAAGTCATAGTGATTGCTATATGTAATTGAAATGACCTGGTTTTATATTGTAACTAACATTCTTATTTCAAGGAGAGTTGCTTATCTTTAAAGAAAACATTTTTTCCAATTAGTTCCTCAATTAATATTCATCTTAGAAGAGCACTGCTATTGGGCTTAGGCAGTGGTATGAGATGTTCACTTTTACCAGAAAATGAAAGATGCAAAATAACAAGTTATATTCATCAACTATGTTTTGTGTGTTACATATAGCAGCTATCCTTCCTCATTTTCTAACTGTCTAAAGAGTATAATGCTAACAGAAAAGATGTTACAATCCAACACTGAAATGATGAAGCAATATAAAAGAATGAAAGTTATCATTCCCCTCAAAAGACAAGATAGCACATTCTTAATTAAAATATTTAATTAATTGGCAATTTTCTTATCTTTCTAGCATGGAAGCTATAAACCTTTTTGTAATTACATACATCTTTACATTCTCCCCTAGTATTGAAATGGAGGAAGTTGACTCTTCTCCCATCAGAGACAAATTTGTACTTGACAGTCTAGATCATATTCCTTAAATCTATCCTAAAGATTTAACTGGTTTGGTCCTCCCCTTAATCTTCTCCTGAAACACAAATCATTTCCCTGATTACTACATTATATCTATCTTCACTTAGTATCCCCTAAAAATTCCTATCTCTCAAATAGGTTAAAAATATATAAACAAAATTTTCAAATCACTAAATACAACAAAAACTCCATTCCTCTGTTCAAATTTCCATTCAAAATTTTTCTGTTTCCTGTCCCTGTAAATTAACATAAGATTTGTATTGATATAGGTTGTTTCCGATCCTCCATTTTTCTTGTTTCTTGTTTCTGTTTTTGTTTTGTTTTTTTGTTAATCTTCACCTGAGGGTATTTCCCCCCCCCATTGTTTTCAGAGTGGAAAAGAGTGGAGGAGGAAGAGAGAAATAAAGGAGAGACAGAAACATTGATGTGAAAAATATTGATTGGTTGCCTCCTACATATGCCTCAACCAGCCTGGGGATCTAACTGCAACCCAGGTGCATGTTCTTGACTTTGAATTGGACCTGAGGCCCTTCAATGCCAGGGTCAACGCTCTAACCACTGAGAAACACGGGCCAGGGCATTCTTATCCATTCTTTTATTCATTGTGAAATGCTTCCTATTTCTGTAGCTACCCCAAAAGTATCATGATGAAAATCACAAATTTTCCCCTTGATAAACATATAGTGGACTCCTTCTTAGATTATCTGACTTTTGGCCCTATTATCATATGGCTTGTGGCCACAAATAGCAAGTGGAACAACACTGAGACAGTCATAGGCAGCTATCATAACACATGGTATCAGTTAGGACCCCTGGCCCTCCTATTTGATCCTATACCCTGGGGGACTAGCATCCCAGAAAACCCTTCCAGGCACTTCTATCAGCATGAGCCCCAGGAGAGAAGAGAATGTGAGATACGTATTTCTTTTGAAACCAAACCTTTAAATTACTAGTATTTTTAATAACTTACAGTGACCAGAAAGCTACAGAATCTGTTCCAAATGACATTGGGATTGGAAAGAAATGTTCTTCAGAGCATGAAACAATGACTGGAGAAAAAAAGTAAAACTATTTTAAGTTTGTACCCCATTAAACTCAGACTATACAGTAAGCCCTATTGTATATAAATTAGTGATTGGCAACTGTCCTTAGGGTTCTCAATTTTCCTTTTTGCAAATATAGATTGTCACTGCTTGTATAAGCGAGGATACTTTATTTGCATTTTGCCATTTCTTGGCCCTACCCTTATTTGTAGATTTACAGATTCTATTGCTAAACATGCTCACACACAAAAAGAATAATATCTAGTTTAAAATCTTTTACAAGCAGTTTAAATGGTTTCACTTCTTTTCTTACTAATAGGCAATGGTGAGGATATATGAAAGTGCTGATTTTTGTAATCTTCCTAACTTACAATGAGATTTAGTGTGTGCAAGTATTGGCATAATGCAATAGTGGTTGTTGATTTACAAGACAGAGGAAAAAGCTGTCACTGATTTTGAATCTCACAGATGGAGCCAATTCTTAAACACATTTAGGAGAGATAATAGAGGTAGAGGTAACTGTTCATAGCTCAACAAATGTTGGCCTGTGGTTTGCTTGTGAGCCATAGTCGACTGACTCCTGGAACAAAGTGAGTACTTTTCCCTTGCCATCTGTGCACACAGAATGTGGGGATAAACATCCATGTAGCATTTCCTACGTAGAGTCTCTCCCCCAAATTTACATGAACATGAAAAGATCAAGGTAGCAATACATAATATTATGCATTAATTAGAGTTATATGTTCACAACAATACCCAGTTAATATAAAAACAAAATGCATTAATTAGAGTGATATGTTCATGATAATACCCAGTTAATATAAAAACAAAACATTTAGTTGATCAAATATTGCCCAGGTAGTTACCATGTACTTGATAGATACAGTCCCCAGAAAACAATCTAGTTCAATGTTAAAGAGAAAAGAATTCAAATTGAGTGAAGTCCCCTGTGCCTATCAGGATACTTTCCCTCAGGGTATCTCCAAAAAATGTTTTGGAAGAATGGAAGAGATGAAGGAAAGGAGAAAAAGAGGAAGAGAGAGTATGACCTAGTCATTTAGAATTTGGGTTTGGAAATAAGCAAATAGAAATGTTCTAGTGACGGTCACTTAGTATCTATGTATACTAGTACATGTGGAAATTATTTAAGTCTTAATTCCCCCCTTGGAAAATACGGATAATAATAATAACCACTTCCTAAGATCCCAAGGAGATTCTGTGTATCAAGCACTGTGCCTGACACTTCATCTAAGAAGAACTAAATTGTTATCCGTATATTCACTTAACTATCGTTGTTGTTCAGGGGAACAAACATCTACAGATTATCAGGTTATTCTTGCTTCTTAGAAATATTTTATTTAAGCCTTTTTTGGAATTATAATAAAAATGTCTAGGAGATTAGGTAAAGTAAGGCGTTTTTTTTTTTTTTTAAATAGTCAATTGGTCTCCAATTAGAATAACACATTTTGTTCTCTAAAATTTACAGTGTCTGAACAAAGAGTATACACTGACTAAAACACGGTGTCTCCTGCACATGAGCACATGATGTCTAAATTAGCACATGAACAAATAATGTCCAAATTATTTTGCATCATTGAGCATATCTGATTGTTATTTTCTATGCTTCTAACAAATTAATATTTGTACATCGTATCTGTCTCAAGTGCATTTGATCATGTACAAAATACAGACTGTCCTTTCGTCCGCAGAAGCTAGTTAGTTACTCGTCCTTGTTCCCAGATATTTCCCTGACAGTCTTTTGATGATGGAGAGAGTTATTAATCAAAATATAAAATGCCCATTGCTCATCTGATTATCTTCCTAATTTTCTTCTCCTAGTTAGAAGACAATTAACTCACATACATTATTCTTTTCATGTTTTTTGGCATCTGCATCAGTGACATTTTAATTAAGGTTCATAAACTTCATAAGCTTCAACTTTGAAATCTCAGTTCAAGTGCTACTATTGTTTCTAATTTCACAGCTGCTGTGCCAAATTCATGCAGCTGCTTGTTTTTATACTAGCCTTTACTCCCCCCCCCCCCCCCCCCACACACACACATATACTACCTCTGCCAGA